CTTATACGCTTGTTGAGCAGAACGGCGGGGGGGGGGGGGGGGGGGGAAATCAAAAAAAAAAAAAATCAGAAAACTTCTTGAAGCAGGAGAAAATTTCTCTCTCTCAAACAAAAAACCCTGCCTTTTAATTTACTGAGAATTTTAGTTTTTAAGGGGTTTTAAACACTTAACTCCTTCTGTAGTTTTCCTACCTAATCAGGGATATATTTTCTCTCCTTCAATCATCTTGGGAACCAAAAATCACAGCGTCCAGTAACCCAAAAAGTTGTCACCAATCTATAGTACCACAAATCTTTCAAATGATAGAGTCCAGTGCCCATGCAGCAACTACGAAAGCATTTTACCCTTCTTTTGAAATGTTACCAAAAGTTGATTTATACTTTAAAATAAGAGAATGCCACTCATTCCTGTCCCTAACTTAGTCCATCTTTTGTTATACAACCATGTAACTTCCATTGTGGGAGGGATACACTTTCAACTGGTAACAGACAGACCCAAATACTTTCATTCAAAAACTGCTTTTGCCCTGTTTGTGTTTCAAAAATGTTTAAACTATTCAATCATCCCTCCATAGATACTTTCTTCCTACAGTACCATGTATTTGGCATGGTATCTACAAGCTTTGACATCCTATGCATTTACACATGAACAGGCTAATGCCACAGAATTGAGCATCCACGGCACGTTTAAACAGAAAGCAAAAAGAAAAAAAAGAGGCTGTTTGTGGGATAAGAGCTCTACTTCAGCTCAAGTCACCAATGAGAATCAGGCTGGATAGAGGAGAAAACAGTCCGACCAAAATAATATGCAACTATCCTCTTGCCTCCACAAAAAGCGTTTAAAGTATAATTTCTCCTGCTACAGCAACATCCCTCTCACCTGGTACAGGCTTGAAGCATGGTTAGCATTTATTACTGTTTCTTTTTAAATGTCCGTCCCGTCCCCCCACCCCAGGCAAGTGTATCAACATACACTAACAACTACTTTACATATATAGTCAGTGTTTCATCAAGTTATAAAAGTGACAGTATTTAAAAGGTGCAAAGTTCAATAGTTTTAGACGTAAACACTAAACCACTAAGGTGAGAATTTAAAGTCTTTTCACTTCAAACGGAATCATCAAAATATGGGACAACGTGCCACAGGACAAGGTGAACGTATGCTTTTCAGAGATGCGTGGGAGTTTGGTCAATATTTTGCATATAAACTAATAATCCAAAAGAAGAACAGACAAGCATGGGATTCACTTAAGGTTTTCAGAAAAAAAGGAGATGCTCAAGGATGGGGAAGGGGAGAAGGAGAAGAAAAAGAAAAGTTTCTCTGGGCTTTGATTTAAACCTGCCAAAGGTACTTTTTATTCCATGAAGAGTGATATAATGCAATCTGGATTAAAATGTGCATCTTTTCAAATACAAGGAAAACAACTTTTTTTTTTTGCATAATGAAGATATTTCAAAGCTTCTCACCTGTACATCATCTTTATAAATAAGGTAGCTTTTCAAAAACACATTATTATAACATTTCTCCATTCTGGTGACTGCATTTCAATCTATGTATATTAAAACAGTATGCTAACAAATAGAAAAAACATAAGCATTTAGCTTAAACTAGTTTTACTCATGAGACATTACAAAACTGGCTTAAAATGTAAATGAATCCCTTCACTGTTTTCACTGGTAGCCATGCCCAGTGCTCCCTTGGTTGCAAAGAAAAGTGAAGGGGCTGATAGCATTGAAAATATTAATCCTTTAGATTTAAGAGTTACACAACATTTGACAGGAAGTAATTTCTGAGCTGCTCATATGGATTAGTTGTGCCTTATGAAAAGCAGAAGCTTAATGCTCTCAGAAGCAGAAGTGAATATTATTTTACCTCTAGGCCCATCAACTAGTCTGGTTGTCCAAGAGACTTCAAGGTCAACACAAACTCTGATTTCTGACAGCAGGACACAGTTGACATTAATGTATTTCAGAGCTGAACCTTTATTGCCTTGACCTTCTTCATTGGAAAAAATATGAACAAACTATGACTAAAATGTAACAAATATCCAGTTTCTCTCATCTTCAGGTCCATAATTTCAGATGAAAAAAGAGTACCACTCTTTCTTGGGGTTTTGTTTTTTTAATGTTTCTTCTAGCTGACAGATACACTTCAAAACCTTGTCTTTGAATGAAGTCACAGGTATGAATCCTCAAATGCATCTGGAAGGCATCGACCACACTGATTCTTCTCATGAATACTCAGAGTTGCTTGTTGCTTAACATCAGCAGTCTATGAATTACTGTAAACTTAGCAGCAATGTAGCCACTCTCCAGTTTGTACTGGTTACTAAATTAAAAGCTTTCATAAAAGAACCAGCAATTATTAAAGCTGGTTTCATTACTCAACCTAATTTTTCAACGCCCTGATCTCAGAAATGTACCACTTTGAAAATAACTCCATAAATTTATAGATACAATAAACTGACTTCAGCCAGTTCCAATATTATATGGCTTTGACAGTCGATGCAAACGAAAATAAATCCACTCTTATTGACTGCATGTGCTTACAGAGATTTAAAAAACTTCTAATAGGTATAGTTATGCCACATCGCTTTAAAAATATGTTTTTTCCACAATGTTCAACCAGATGTGACCCAATAATGCTTCAGAACATGCAAACAAAACCAAACAGAACCCCCAAACAAACATGACCACTGTAGATATAATTATATACTAAGTGCTTCAAAGAAAAACTTAAGTCTAGAAGCATATATAGTGCTAAAGCTGCCAAAAGTAGTGGAGAGCTAAGCCTCCAAGTGGTAGCAAGCAATACCAAAATATCTTATGCTGTATCCACTTTGACATTTCTACAAATGTCTCTGAAACTTTTTTTTTTATTTTAAAGAGTAACATCTGACTTCAGATAAGCACATTTTTAATGCACCCTTCCCATCTCCAAACCTATGTTTCTGCAATCTTATTACAGGTCTATAGTTTAAAATGTTCACAGTGTCCAAAGACTGAAAAATTCAGAGCAACCGACTTACTGCGGTTTGAGAAGCTAATATTTCATGTTTTATATTTTTTTTCAAGTCTTTAAATTCATTGAACTGTATTGAGAAAGAGACCAGGATCTGTACTTGATCTTAGCTCAATGGGCTGGAGACCAAAAGCTCTGACCTCTGAAGCACGAACATACTAGATGAGTATTTCACATACACTTCTTTGCAGGGAATATTGCCCGTGACAGTTTTGATAATGTTTGTACTGTACTGATTAGTCACCATTGTTCCAAGTTCTGAATTTATACTCTCTCTCACTGTACTAAACAACAAGGATCTCTGTGCTATTTATTTTATGAAGTTGTATCATTAAAAAGGGTGCTGTGAGCTCTAATGGCTACAGCCATTTCTGACAAAACCAAACTAAAACGCAACACAACGCAAGAACAAAAACCAAAGAGACCAAAACCCACATCATCCCTTTAAAAATTAGTGAACACATGATGATTTAAGTGCAGCTTTATGGAGGGAACATAACAGCATTTAAATATTTGGCAGTCAAAAATTAATGACAATTAAATCCTTGATTGGTGAATGATACAATTTTCATTAAAATTTACTTTAGAAAAGCTGGTTTTGGCTACTAACAAAACCAGAGTAACTGGCTTAGAGTGAATTCTAAGAATTAGATCTCCAGATGAGATGGAGCGATAGGTTCAGAATTTTCAGTATATATCTGGACAGTCTGAGAAATTTCTATCAAAGTAGCCACCTGAATATAACCAGTCTGAAGTCCCTGTGTATGGGTTAGTGCGTTGTTGAAACCATCTGTAAAAAGTAAAGAAAGTAATTAAAAAAGAGAAAAATGAGTTTGTTTGTTTTTTTGCTTTTACAAAGAAATGCAACAGGATACCTACATTCCTCAGCCCTAAAATATCATTTCCCATTAGGTACTTTAGAAAAATTAAAACATTAAATTCTGAAAGAAGTATTTACCAAAGCCCTTACACCCCAGTAGCCTTGTGTACTAAAAATAAAGTATAATACAGATTTCATCACTCCCAATGGCATTCAGATAGAAAACCCAAGCAATATTTTTTGTTTTAATTTAAAATTATCAAATCAGTTCTTGGCAAAAAACCATTAATTCCCCTTAATTTCTAGCAGTGTCCAAATACATAAGAAATGGATGCGCTATGTTAGCACATGAACAGATGCTCACATTTAGGCTGCTGACTGACATACACAGTTGAAATTAATGACATACATCCTGGAAGAGGGTTTCAAAGGCACGCATGGGATAGAGATAATTCCCACTGAACCTCTAGAGCAGTTTACTTTCTAATTGTTCTTATACCTTTAAAGAACTGACCCCTCTCGCTTCAAAGATTTGTTTTTTTAAAAAGCCAGAAAAAAACCTCCTGGGTACAAAAACAGCCTGGTTTCTTTTGCCGATGTGCCTCTTGCATAACAGTATCAGGAATCTGAGCACAAGTAAACAGCAGAAGGCCTGTAAGCAGTTTCAAGAGCCTTCTGTAATTTGATTCTTCAATTTCAAATGCTTACTGTAATTTGGCAAATGCTTTTAAAGAAGAAAAAAACTGCTGCTAAGTACTAACAGTTAAGGCAGCCGATTTTCAAATCTGAAATATAGCGTCTTTCCATAAATGAGGCCTAACCACTGCTTACAGCTGGGATAGTGTCCACAAAGCCTTTCAGTGCTTACATCTGCCCCTGCATACTAAAGCTAAACCTGCTGTCAAAAGTAATCAAAATCCGTAAATGCACTCTTAACCTTAATTAGCTTTTCCTCCCCTTTCGGAATCATCTAAAACTCCTTGCTTGTTCTCTCTCATTACATATTTCCCAGCCATTTTTAACAGTCAAGAGTGAACTGAAGGGACTATGCACTGCAGAAACATCTCAGGTTTGGGGAGTGATTCTGTTCCCAAAGTTGCCACCATGGAGCCCTGCAGCAAGTCACTTCACCTCTTTGGGTCTCGTTGCCCCATTAATAACATTGTTAAAGGGAGACTACCCACCTGTGTAAACAAAAAGGTGTCTAGGCATGGAAAGTGCCTGTGCTGGGGTGGGCTATTCCTATGGCACAGGGGGCTGCCATCCCTGCACAGTTATCTAACCCCGCAAAGGAGCCAGCTGCCAGTCAAGGTCACAGCTCAGTGAAAAGGACAGCTGCAGGAGGGAAGCTCCCATGACTGGCCCCAGAACACAGTGGGGCATGCAGAATGAAAACCCTCCAGGCTCCGGGAGCATGGGCTCGGCAGGAGAACATCGCTGTGTTTAAATTAATTTGAATGAATAAAATGTGTTTTAAGGAGAGGGCCTCAAAGAGACTGGGTGATGGTGGGCCATCCTTGGCAAAAGCACCTAGCAGCTGTAACACCTGAAAAGTATTATTACTATTTCTGAGAGGGTTAATCACAGGAGTTAGCCATGTGGATTACATGCCCTTTGTAGTGATCTGCTTCCTGCTGGCTTGGAGATGGCCAAATTTCACTGATGCTGTAGGTACTACACAGTAAAGCTTGCACTGAGGGCTACCATCCACAGCTGTCTGCATCCCTTAAAATAACTTGAGGATACCCCCATGTTTTACGTTTTATTCAATACATGGCACAAAAGTAATCTGTATGAGGCAATTCCCTTGGCCTCTTATGACAAGTTTGAGCATGAATTCTATTTACAGAAAGATGGTTCTTTTGAAATGAAATCTAAAATTTTGGCTTTCTGCTACATTATTTAAACATCCTTTTTAGCAGATTCTGCATGATGTGCTGCCAGGCAAAGACAGAACTTGTAGTCTTATATACAACTGAATGATTCCAAGTATTAACCCAATGCCATCTTTCTTCCCCTTCCTCTCAATGTTACCTCGTCTGCCATTCTACTTCATCTTTTGCACGCTCCTTGCGAGCAGCTCTTTGTTTCTCTTCTAATCTCTCCTTCTCCTTGCTGGCCAGATCTAGCAGAAATTTAAAAACGGATTGGTTACTTTGCAAAATATGCACCGAAGAAACATGGGAGAGAAATACAATCCAAATGCCTTTAAGTAAGGGAAAGCATTTATAGTACATGTTCTTGTTAAAGTACAAAAACACCAAAATGTTCTCCTTGGACCCCATCTAAGCAGCATGTGTAGAAAAAATGTACTGAAAATTGGGGTACAAAGAAAAAAGAATTAAGCACAGACCCTCCAAAAATAGCACATACCCAGGTCGCCATTTTCCATGCCCCTGATATCTGGCCGCAGCCGACAGTCAGTGGGAGCTAATATTGCTTCCATATCTTTTTCCAGCTCATTGAGACTTACAGCAAAACTGGTGAAATTGTACATCTTCAGAAAGAATAAAGATAAAATCACTTTATTATATACGCGTTACATTTTGATTCCTAACACTAGGCTGTTACCACAGAATTTTCAAAAGTAATTAATCCTTAAACTAAATTTATTCCCACTGAGGACAGCAAAAGCAATGTTAGCCCAATTGCAAAGGGCTTTTGAAAATTCCCGCCTTTCATTTTTAAACTGTGCTGCACATATTGGCAAGGGAAAGCACTGTGATGATTTACATGTCCTCACTTCAGAGGTTGCAGAAAACTTGTTGCTCATGATGGGTTCTCTCCAATTCTTAGACTCTTACATATTCACATTTTTAGTTTTCCAGATTATTTGGAAATGAACATAAAAATAAAATACCCTTCAAGAAAACTTGCCTACCATTTTCTTGATTTAAAGGATGATATTTTGGGCTCTTCTGAGCCTGCCTATAAAGACGCAATGATCTACAGGGTTTCTTTTGAACATCCTAGTAATACCCATAGAATATTTTGACAGATTGAAGGCATTACCTGTGAGGAGTTTGGAGGTCTAGAATTTATCCTCCACAGTAGCTTACTGCCTGGCATAACTTGTACTGTCTCTTGGATCTCTGGCATATCATCAGCCTCATCATTCTCAGATTTAATAGCATCTTCACTCTAAAACAAAAATATAATACTTGGAAGTGGAATCAAAGAGAATTAGGGACAGGTCTTCTACCCAAAGATCTAGAGTGATCACTGAAGATTTCATCAAATTCTAGTTCTTACATACTCTGAATCCACCTGCATCTCTGCTCCGATTCCACTTTCTTCCCACTTACGTCTTCCTCCTCCTATTTATTGTTCCTTTCCTCTCCTCCTAGTCTCAGCTTCATGCCTTCTTCGGTGTTACCCAATGTGTTTGGAATAACCTCCCACTTCCTATGTGCCAAAAGCACAATTTGTCAAACAAAAATCCATGTCTTCGAAAAATCTTTGCTTGTTTTCCTCACCCTCCCTTTTCCAGACTCATCTCCTGTTTCTCCTGCCTCAGATTATGAGATCTTTGGGGGTGGTAATGCATCTTACATTACTATATACAGCAATACACTTATTGGCAGCACAAGGTAGCCAATTAGTTATGACATTTGCATGCTTTAGAACTTACGCAGTTGCATCTGAGACTGAAGGTATAATGGCAAGCTGATATAATAATATATCACTATATTTATACGTGAATGCATCAATGGGTTTAACTTTCCACAACACCAACTATAACAACATTAATTCATCCCATCACCCAGAATTCTCCAGTACCCAGTGCTTCTACAGAGACTGACCAAACACATGGTTTCAGGATTCTAGAACGAGAAGCTCTGCCTTTTTCCTTTTTAATTAAGTTAATCTAAAACAAGCTGCCATTCTAGATCAGATTCCTCCTTCACCTCTTTACCAAATAGATGGCATTACGTATTCTGTAATGCTCTGAAATACTCACCTCTTCCAGGCTCCCGATTAACATTTCTACTCTGAATCATGCAATTATGGCAGTGACTACAGGAGTATTATTAGCTCTCCTATTTGCCTACATAGCTACTATCTACAATAAAAATCTGAATGGGGCTAAAAGATAATGGAACAGGCCAGTTACAAAACAGTTTTATTTCAGCAGAGTTATGAAAGGATGTTTTAAGAAAAAGCTCTGACAGCACCTGTCAAAACTATATTGGACAAGTAAAGAAGCCTGGCCACACAAACTGCAAAATACAGCAGGGATAAGTACAGGGGGAAAAAAAAACCAAAAAACCTCAGAGGTATAGGTTGTAGCCCATGTTGGTCTAAGGACATAGGCAGAAAAAGTTCTTTGGGTAAATGTGATATCTTTTATCAGACCAACTCAAATAGTTGGAAAAATTCTTCTTTGCAAGCTTTCGGGTATAGATACCCTTTGTCAGGCTGAGGAAGCACCTGCAGTTGCTGTGTGCTCCTCCTGGATGGAATGAATAGTAAAGAAGCCAAGGGGCTGGTATGCATGCAAGAAAGGTCATCAGTGAAGCTGTAAATCGAGAAGTCAGTGGGTGACAGACATGTTGCGAGGAGTGGGGGGAGAAATGAATGTAGCTGATAATGAATGTACTTATCCACTATTTACCAGCTAGATTCATTCCCCGCCCCCCGCACACCCGCCCCTCAATTTACATCTTCACTGACTGCCTTACTTGCATGCATACCAGCCCTTGGCTTCTTTACTCTTCATTCCATCCAGGAAAAACACACACCAGCTGCAGGTGCTTCCTCAGCCTGACAAAGGGTATCTATACCCGAAAGCTTGCAAAGAAGAATTTTTCCAACTATTTGAGTTGGTCTAATAAAAGACAGATTTACCCAAAGAAGCTTGTCTGAAAAAAAAAAAAAAAAAAAAAAAAAACCCCCTCACACCTTTGTTCAAGAGTAAACCCAGGCTATCAATTCTGAAACCATTAAAAATACAGTGTGCTGGATGTGCTGCTGTTTGCTGGACCAACCACAGCAGGTAGCCTGCTAGTTTCCCAGCATAAGGCATGAAACCCAGGAGTGAGGATCTATAAAATAACCTTGTGGATGCAGCACTAGATGGAGTTTGCCAAGAATTGGGTATTTCAGTCTTTTAAAAACAGGATAAAAACAACACATAGAAAGAGTGACTGTTTTCTCCTTTATCTTCTCTTTGGTCTGTGTCCCCACCCTCCACCCCCCATTTCCCTTTGCATAAAATGTTGTCTAAGTACTAGCAATCAGTGCCCTTTCCCATCAGACAGGCTTCAACTGCTGATTAAAATCAGTATTAAACATCCAAGTCCCTTTCAACATGAAAGAGAGGGTATGTTTGTGTTGTCAGAGGCAGTTCAGTCATGTTAGTGTCAAAAGCACTATGGAAGTGCTAACACAAAAGGAAATGAAAAAGTCATTTTACAATCCTTACAGATAGTTCTTTCACTACAGCTCGATGTATTATACTCAAAACATATCTGAGGGAATAAGTGGGCACAATAAAAAAGATGCAATAACTTTACAGTGTTTACAGAAATACAATAAAATTCCAGTGTCTTTCAAGTTGTAGAAGTCTCACAAGCCAGTCACAAATGTTTGAAGCTGAGCAGTGTTCCTCTCATACAATGTGCACAAAATTCACATCCCCAGAACAGAAGCAGAAGAAAATTTAAGGGGGAGAAAATATATTTCCTCACAAACCTGAATGGTAACACAAGCTACAAATGCAGCATATCCAACATGATATACAGATACAAATATTATTTGTACTGAGCTGAACTTGACAAATCACAGATCACGCTGGCCACTCCTTGTCTACCTGTCACTAGCCACCTCCAGAGTAGGACCACAGGGCTAAGCTACCCAGGATTTCAGCTGAAGCAGCAAAGAGGATTTCACTTTTAGTCTCCATAAAAAAAATTAAAATTGCAATTTCCAAAAAAGCAGCTCAAAATGTAGTGATATTCTTAGCCATGGTGTCAATATACACCACAAAAATAAGAAACTATGTCCATCTTAGATTGGTAAAATGTACATCTTCTCTATCCTGTTAGATTGATATTATCCATTTGATGTACTGGGAAATTATTTTCCTATGGTTAACGTTCCCATTTTAAATCAAGTTCAAGCTTATTTATCTATAGCAGTGGTGCCTGTGAGGCCATGTTGTCCAGCCCCTTGGTCTTCTAACCAGTCCAAAAGTTTGGCTGCAGGAGAGCATTACAAATCTGGCAGTGTTCATTGCAGCTCCCCTCCTGACATACTTCTGGATGCGTGAGGAGCCCTGCGGGCTGGATGACATGGCCCTGCGTGCTTGATTAGTGACACACAGTGCAGCTGGATCCAGCACACAGGGTTGAGCTGGCATGGGACACTGGGCTATGCATGAAGTCAGGCCAGCGCAAGGATCTGGGCCCACGCATCAATTCTGCACTGGATCAGGCCAGTGAACTAATACCTTATCATTCCTCCAGCCCACAGGACAGAAGGTTGAGTACCACTGATGTACATTCCTCATTCGAAACCACCCTTGAGAATACTTTCCATTTCAACATCTGCTTGCTGTTGGAGAACTCCCAGAACTAAATATAAATTCAGTAGGAAAGACCAGGGAGTTGATTTTCTAGAGGTGCACTGATACATTGGTCCGATATTGGATCAGTACTGATAAAGAAAATTGGCTGTATCGGAAATCAGCCCCTTGCAGCCAATAATCTGGCCAATACATGCTAGGGCTGTGCAAAACAGCACCGTTTTGTTTTGACTTCTGTTTCGAAGCACTGTTCCATTTTGTTTCATCGAAACTGTTTTGCTGTTTCGATGTTTCGCCCATAAACTATAATGGAGAATCATGAAAATACCTATACTTTTGTCATTTCTTGCCTGACTCGGATGAAAATTGCAGGGATGGTAGCCTCTTCTGGGGGCATGAAGCCTGCCAAGTTTCAAGGAGATAGGTGCAGGGGTTTATGGGAAACTGCACCTCAAACTGTTCAAAGCAAAACTCGTATCACCTGCCGGCAGCAGCAGCCTGCTGTCACCCTGCATGCAGACCTGGGGGCCCATACTCCCAGAACGAATCTGGCACAGCCCCGCAGCCCTCCCGGGGGGTGCGCACCCCCGAACCTGCGCGCAGGATGACAGCATGCTGCTGCTGACAGCTGGGACCAATGGCAGCACCAGTCTTCACGGCGCTTGGCATGTGCTGCGCCCAGCGCTAGTCCCAGCCAGCAGCGGCATCCTGCTGTCATCCTGCATCATCCGGGGGCCCACACCCCCTGGGAAGAGCTGGGGGAAAGATGGGGGAAGCTAGGGAATCCAACCGGGAGCTGAGGGAATGTTGAAGGACCTAAACAATCCCCCAGCGCCCGGTTCCATTCCCCAGCTCTTCCCAGGGAGCGTGGCCCCCGGATCTGCACAGTGGGTTTCGGCAGGCTGCTGCTGCTGCAGTTTCAGCAGCAGCCTGCTGAAACCCAGCGCGCAGATTGGGCCCCCTGGAAGAGCTGGGGGAAGCGATCAGGAAGATAGATGTCAGTATCAGAGCAGTCCTTCCCCCTTCTGCCCCCTCCTTCTCCTTAGTTTCTGTTTAGCTGCAGCAAGTCTGGCTTTGAAACACTGAGTGCCCTCATTTTGTTTGGAAGCCCTTTGTTTTGTTTTTATTTCGCTGTTTCAAGCTCAAAATGCTTCAAAACAGCTTTGAAACATACACCCGTCAAAATTTTGCACAGTCCCAATAAATGCCCGTACATACACGCAGCCACAGCGCAGCATGCAAGCAGAAAGGAGCACAGCCCAGCAGCTTGGAGAGCTGCGTTCAGCTGGTAAGTCCGTTGTGGTAGAAGGGGAGAGAAAGGATGTGAGGAGCGGGGGTTGTGGTGAGGGAGGGAGTGGGGCAGGGACAGGACAGCCAGGGTGGGGCAGGGCATGGGATGGAGCTGCTCATCTGGGGAGTGCAGGGGGGTGGGAGCAGCGTGTGCCCCTGGATCTGCATGGGGTAGGGGAGGTGGGCTGCGAGCTGGAGCCAGAGTTGCACCAGGGTCTTCTCAGCAGGGGTTGGGCTCGAGGCGGGTGGCAGGGGTGCTGGAAGGAAGGCTACGGGGGGGCTGCAGCTGCCCCAAATTTTATCATACCCCTCCCCAATCGACCTTCCCAGCATTGCTGCCCATCCGGTACAGCCCCAGCTCAACCCCCGCCTCCAGCCATGCACTGGGAAGAGCTGAGGCTGCACTGGTGGTGGTGCTGGGAGGAGTTATGGGGGGGCCTACAGCGAAATTTGGGGTGGCTGCAACGCCCCCCTGAAGTCCCCTCCCAGTGCTGCAACCACCTGCCCCGAGCCCACCCCTCATCGAGAAGAGCCCAGCGCAGCCCTGGCTCCAGCCCACAGCTGCAGCCCGCCCACCCCACCCTGCACAGATCTGGGGGCACAGATCTGGGCCACCACCAGTGCCCTCCCCTTCCACCACAAGACTTACCAGCTGGACACAGCTGTATTGGAATTGGATCAGTATCGGCCGATATGCCTCCTTAAACATCAGCTATCAGTATCGGCCCCCAAAATCTCTATCTGTGCACACCTATGATTTTCAAAAGCTAAGATGTTCAGAAAGGCAAAAAAGAATCTCAGCTGATCTTCAGAAGGACAGAATTCAGGAAAAGAAACACAGAGAGGGCTGCTGCCTCCAGGCTCTCGACAGGAAGAGTCAGTTCAATTTTATAAAAGTTGGCCCCAGAAAGGCCCCAAAGTTACCAGGTCTCAGTTTTAACCTGTCAATTGGGTGGTGCATGAATAGCCAGAGTTTTACAATTTCTACCAGTAGCTGCAATGCCAGCTCTCACGCTTCGTGCCCTGCAATATCTGGTATTTTTCATAAAGCCCCAGGCCTCCAGAGTCATACAATTATGGAAGAATATCTACTTTTACATCAGAAGTGACAGCAAGCTTCTAACCCTGCTTGTTTCCAAGCTTCCCTTTGCAGCACAAACCCCTAAAAGCTAAAATATTAGAAAACAAGTTAAAAAGCCAGAACTTTACTGCTTTTTGATAGACTCATCATTTTCTTGATGCCTGAAAGGCTTCATATTTAAATGCCTGGAGTTGGCAATGCTGCCATTTGCTTATCTCTGTAAGCTGAGTCACTAAATATCGAACCTAAACTCCAGCCCTGACAGATGCTCCACTCCCACCTAAGTCAATGGTCACCAAAGAAGGTTGTTGCCTCATAGGATTTAGGACCCTTCTAATGAAATTGGCCACCATACACCAGAGCTTTTCAGGTACCACTGCAATGATGTTTCTTGTTGGAAGAGAATGTCCTTATCAGGAGAGAGACAGCTGCACCTACACTCTCCTGAATCATTTTATAACCTTACCGGTTTCAATTTCTTCTGGTCTCCACCTTTCTTTTCATTCTTTTTAAAGGTTTCGTACATGGTAGGATCAATACACCATAAACATTCTGTCCATTTACCATAGATCACAGAGAGCTTCTTTTTGCTGTTTGGAGAAGAAAGAAAACTTATTTTTCTGCACAGTTTCTATAAGACTTTCTAAACAATTTTATATTTGCGTAACCTAATCTAGGTTTTTTGGGGGGCCTTCTCTCTCATGATTTCTGGTGCAGAATTCTGGGAAAATGTTTATCATAATATAAATGTAAAAGATTAATATTTTAGTTTACTCAAACATTTCTAGTATTCAGCCCTACAGCTTGGAATGTACCCTCATTAGCCAGCCGTCAGTCCCACCCTCCACTTCACAGTTTAACTGAACACAGAAATAAAGCCAACAGTTACAAATACAAAGATCAAGATCTCCATGACAGGTTTTGTCTGGGGAATACAGGTGTTAGTACATATTAAGAATTCCACTCTCCAATTTAAAAATTTACCAAGAAATACTAAGAAAAACAAACCACCAACAAATGTATTGCTCCCTGTATACCCTCTTTAAATCTAGAGTTCTGTCTATATCCAAAAGTACAAATGGCCATAAGTGTTTTCCAATACTGAAGAAAATGCTCCTCTTAAAACGAAGTAGTATAATACAGAATATAGTAATACATGAAAATGGGAAGTCTGTCCCTATATAAAAAACCCCAAGTAGCCATGCAACAATTAATACATTCTTCTTAGTACTATAGGCCCAGACGCTGTAAGCAAGAGACTTTTCACTTACTTTTTGTCCTGAACATATCCCTCTACTCTGTGAAGCTCCTTTCCAAACAGTCCACATGGTTTAAAATGAAGGATACATTTATCTCCGGTACTGCAGAGGAAATGAGTTTGCAGTTCAGAAAGGCTGCATCTAAAATGTGTTTATTAATATATTTACTTGACTAAAACAGGTACCAAATTATTTCATGAAAACACTTCAAAATTAGGTAGTAAAAAGTGCCTGGGTTACTAGAAGTCTTTGCAGATCATTCTTCATTCAGACAGAGCCTGGTGACATAGAGCCTGCTAATGCCGTCTGACGATTTCAGTGAGAAATTTCTGCATTCCTTGTATATCTAAAATTCTCTGACAAAGTCACTAAGAACTCTTATTTCCTACCTACTATCAATAAATCAATGAGGTTGATACAGGTTAAACAAACATAGGTTAAGTCACTATTTAAAACTGATTACAATGAAGTTGACAGAGGTAGCAAATGTAGCCCACACAGTTAAAAACTATGTGCAATCACATGCTTTTTCCCCAACTACACTGGACAATATTCTTGGATCAGACTCACTTGTAGATCCACGCTATACTGCATTAAGCAGGTTTCTTGTATTCAGATATTACTGTATATACGTAACCTCTCCCAGGTGAAGTTTTGAACAGAAGTTTTAATATCAGGAGCACACATAATGTAGAGGCTACGCATGGCTTAGTTGACTGCAACTAAGTAGACTTAGAATGTGAAAAAGATACCAGATCAACAGTCCCTGTGACTTGTCTACAGACATAGGCTGAAGTGGTGCAAATTTTAACAACTACCTAACTGACCTTACTAACTACAGGCCAGATGCATGGAAGAGCAGCAAGGTATTTCAGTCCATAATGCTCTCGAATCCCAAGACAGCAAACAACCAAGCCCAGCACTGCCACCATAATACTATGGTGACCTATGACATGTGGACAGCTGATATTTTCACAAAATTGGCTGCAAAGATGTTAAATGGCAATTTCAACTCATATCAACTGATCTGCTGAAGTTGAAAAGGTGACATGGTGCTGAAAGGTTCTGTTCCCCTGAAGCCACCCCTACTCTCACAGAATTATTTAAACCGTTAGTACTGTTTGAAGTTTGTTTTAAGAGAAACAAGAAAAATAAATGTAAAGGAGTTCAAAGAATAAATAATTTTATTGTGTTTGGCAGAAAAACAGCAAGTAAAAATCTTGAACTTGGAGGCCAGAGAGATCACAATTCTTCCTGTCTAAAGCATCTGCAAATACCACTTACCAGTCTCCCTACAGGCCAATGTTCATAACTACCTAACTGGCAATTACCTGTGATTTACGATTTCTACTGTTCCATACTGTTCTATCCACAATTTACCAATAATTACATTATGTACACAACAGGTTGGATTTGTCCACGTGTACGCTTCATTATATCTGTGAAAGAAATCAGAAAAAGCAGAACAGAAATCAGATGCAGAGAAAATAAAATCATTCCTTGAACTAAAGACGTAACTTGTATCTGCTTTAAATTCTAAATAACCTAACTCCACTAATGGGGTAGAACGCTTACTACTCCAGTTAACAGTAGTCATTTAAGAGTTTTTTGTTTTAAAGTATACAGATTTTCTTTTTTATATAAATCAACACAATGTGTTCTCTCTGAAGTTTAGCACAAGTTAACATGCAATAAAAAGTAAAAGAGGAAATTGCTTTCCTATGAAATTCAGATGCCTGCCCTTCAATCACTTGAGTTCAGAGGCACTGCCCGAGTAGCACTGAGGGAATTTACTATTTTAATTGTACTTTTAAAAGGGCGTTGTGTCAGAAGCAGCTTCTAACCCTCCCACCAGCCCCCAAAATGGATGGCTTCTGTTCAAATCACCAGAGAAGCACTGAAAAGCTTCTCCCCATATAGCTGTTTCACCGTGCCTCAACCATAATCTGGAGCAACTATCCCTTGGGACAAGAAGTAGTGCTGTCTTCATGATTATTTAATATGAACCCCTTTGCTGAGGTTCCAACAAGGATGCTAGTTACTGCCAGCTTTGCTAGAGATCAGGGATGCACCTTCTCCACCCGGTAGAGAAGACAGTGGCAATTTTGCAGTTAATCACCAGTTTGCCTCTTCCTTTCTATACCCTAAACATGTAGAAACACAAACTTCCTGCCTTCTGTGCAGTCCTTTTAATACAGCCCAACTCATTATCTGACATGGAAATTTGTCACAGAAAGACCCCAACACCAATCGCAGGCTTTTCAAATGCAATGTTTACAAACTGATTTACTCCTTAATTCTCCCCAGATTCCTTCACTTAAAGCAGCCAAAGCAGAACTGAAACTCTCAGCATAGACTGGTATCAGAACATGCTCTGCAGCACTGATTTTACAAAGCTAGGGGTTGCTGACTTCAGGCCCAGACAGGAATGTTTCTAAAACGGTCAAATTGTTAATCTCGCAACAACTGGATTCATATTTTTACGAGATGGTCCAGGTCATACTTCTACCAGGAAGTCATCTTTTCTCTCTCTTATCTTTCAACACTGATGGGGCACTTAGTGTTTGTGCTGAGCAGCCATTAAGACATCTTGGAAAAGTTTATGACTTGCATCTTGGTTTTTATTCCAATTAAACACAGAACACAAAACTTTATTTTTTGACATAAGCGTACTAAGAGCAAAAATTAAAAGTGCTCATTTTCTAATCTTCACCTTGTCAAGAAAGGATTGGACAAATACTTAAATCTCTCTGGCTGGGCTGTCATTTCCAGTATTGCACAGACAGATCCTTGAAGTTTGATTCCTTTAGTGAGAAGTGTCTCCCACTAAACCCTGCAGCAACAGTTCCTCTTTTAGAGAAGGCCAACATAGCACAGGAAAGTAGAATATTTGAAGGTCTCAATTTGTATTTATGTACCCAGATAATACCATTTGTACATCATACAAAATAGCAAGATGAAGCGGTACCCATATCCATGGCTTACAAATTGAAATGTAAGGTAATATGTGGGTTGGGAAAAGGTAGCTGTTTGTCAGACCTATACATGTTTTGAAAGTCAAGAGGAAACACAAGAATAGCAAGTGTGTTTAATCAGCTACCCTCAGAGTAAACACATTTGTTTGTAATGAACTCACAGGATGCGAGAACCACAGCATCAAACACTTCAATCACCCAACAAATATTCACATCAAGTTAATAGCAAAAATGAATCCCAATTAAGTTAGTCAAATATTTCCCATTAACCATGTATGGTCTAGGGTAAGATTGTATCCATGATCTTGTGGGGGTTGTTCAAATAAAAAGGGCAAGAGACTAGCTTTATTCAGAAAAGTGATATGCTCCCCCTTACCAGCCTTTATTTTGGTTGGATTGTTTGTAGTCAATATTAAAAAGTATTACATTTATTGAAATTTCAGAATCACCTCTCATTCAGGTCAGATTATGAAATCACCTCAAAGAGCTCAGTTCCAAAATACCTTCTCTTTTGCTGTTACTGTGAGTATGTTTATGAAACCCTTACGGGAAAAGTTCAAGAGTCTTTTTAATTTTATTACAGTAACCATGGTACAAAACAAAGGTATGAAATTGTTTTGTTCCCAAGAGATGCTTTCAATCTGATCTAGACCTGGAAGTAACCTGGAAAATGAGGTTTCATTTCAGCCTGGGAATGACTATATGCAGCAGGCAGATTTTATTATTGGGCTCTTATGTCAAACAGCAGATAGTAAATTCCACAAATTCATCACAATTTCTATGATGAATAGTATCTATTCTGGACAAGTTATTTCTAATTTCATGTGTCTGAGTGAAAATTCCCATTGACCTTAACATGGCTTTGATGATCCAAATGACAGCATTTTAGTTCCCCTTTTTAAAGTATCTAACAAAATTCAAGAACACCCGACTCTAAATAGCTTTTTATTTCAAGAAATGCCAACTGTATTAGCAAAAAAAGAATCAAACCAAGTTGTGGCAGTCAGTTTCATGCTGTCCTTCCAACACCAAATCATAGGAATTAACTGTTGCGCAATAGCCTGTGCTTAATTCCCTAGATCGCCTGTCTCCACCCACTCCAAGACAAGTTTTGTAATTATTTGAAGCCAAGGATTGTCCAGACGTGTCTTAATTGATCTGCAGAGCATGAACTACATTTTTATTCAGTTGGGTTGAGAGATGCATATAAAACATAGAAAATAAATGGTTACACTTACTTTAGAAGCTCCAAAGTTATTGTTCCCCGGGGCTCTGCTTCTACACTCTTCCCCCAGAATTTTAGCTTAGGGTAAATTGATCCATGAAAAATAAAGTCCTTATTGAGGCCTTCAGAATAAAATGCACTAACTGGTGGGTGGTGACTGACCTGTTCAGATATCAACCTAAAGCCTAAATCCTCCCTAGGGACAAAAACATGGAAAAGGTAAGCAGTCAGTGTTAATCATGTATTAAAACGCTCTAAATACAAAGATGACTAGGCTTTTAAAATAGATCTAAAGGTTTTTAACCAAATGAGAGCTCTGGATTTCTTGTTTTATTAGGTCACATGGCTCTCCCAGTAATGAGTCACAGAAAAATTAAGTAGAAATTGCACATTTCCCAAACAAAAAACTATACCACAAGTTAGATGCCATCAGTACAGGCATTCATCTCTGATCATTTGACTTGGATAACTCATGGTCAGTCTGAGGCTCCCTGGGCAACAGTAGCTCACGCTAGGAAACCAGATGCAAATCTAATACACTGCAAGCAGCAGAAGCTAGAAGAGTTTCAGTCTACTCTCGGATCGTGACATCATCAGTAAGGCACTCTCTAGATTAATTAAGAGTCTCTGGTAAGGACTGGTTCTCAGTTAGAATATAAATACCGTGCACACCAATTCATCCTTGCACAATTCAGAAAGTCTGAGTCTGTGAGTGGAACTTAACAACTGCAGGGATTTTCAGCAACTTGTAGTAAAAGGATTTAGATATACAAATGGCCAGAATCATTTTTTTTAATCTAAATGAATAAATGAAACTTTCCAGCTTGCCGGGAAGTTAACTCGGTTGACCGGACACAAAAATACTGCCTGCCCCGAGATTTAGAGATTCATCATCACCTGGTAAGCTCATAGGTTTCTCCTAGCAAAGGGTTAAATGGTTTGCCAGTTCTCTCCCACTGAGAAGCTACAGCAGACACTGCAAAAGCAGCCACAGCCTGTAAACAAACAGGAGAATGCAGTCTTGAGAAAACTCCAGTTTCTTACAACATGTTTTCAGATGCTATTGCATTTTAGCTACCCTCATCTTCAGGGACTCTCCAAACTTCACCCTGTAGCCCTGAGGATTCTGCTTTTGTCTAGGCCCCCTCCCAAAAAATCTCATGCTGTTACCATGTAGGCAGTGCTTTTCTGGTTAAAGACTGGACTTTAAGGATTGCTAGCGTTGTCTTAAATTGGCCAGTGGAGATTGCCATATACTGCTTAAGAGTAACACACACAGACACACAGCCAGACTAAGACTGGAAACACTGACCTATATATAGTAAAGCTACACCCGTAGCTAAGAGGGAGAGTCAGTGGTATCTAGTTGCCAAAAGCAGTCATTTCCCCTGGCAGTTTGCGCGCGCGCACACACACACAGAAGAGCTCACTTGCTTTGCAAGAGACGTTTCAACACCAAGGTGTCTTTTGTTTCCTTTCATGCGTCTCACTGCCAGGCGAAAGGACCTTTGTAAGCTCAGACAGATCAATGTTTTTTCATCATGGTCAATTTACTATGCACACCTTGCCCTCTGCATATTCACATAAGTAAAAACGGAGCCCTGAGTAACTCTCAAGGTGTACAGTAGTTTAGGCCCACCATAAAAGTCATTTAGCCACATATTCAGTCTACGCCCCAGCAGGAGGGACAGGGTTTGGGGAAGGAAAGTGGAAAATTGATTCTGCCACAACACTCTTCTTCTACGAATATAAACTTTCAACCTCCCAGGTAGCAAGGGTGTGTCTGACGTGGTTTGGACCCATAGCTTGGCATTCGATAAAAATAGTGGGATGGACAGAGAGTTTCAGAATGGCAGCGTTAAAGGCTAATGTGGTCCTAGGTATGTTCAGGTCCTGCCTGGCACTCTCCTCCTCTTCCTACCATGCCAGAGACCTCTCTACCCACAGGAAAAATCCTGCATCTGCCTACTACAGCAGTGCTTTCACCTCTCTCAAAAGCATCTGCGTGGTCCTTGCCAGAGGTGGGAAGACAGGCTGGCTGGGGCATGGGCCTGACTCAGTATGGCAATTCTTCCCTTCCTTCTGACTACCTCAGAAGAAACCCAACGACTCCCCTCAGCTGGAGCATCACCTCAACACAGAGGCCGCGAGAAGAACAAGGGAAATCTTTCTGAAAGAAGAGGAGGTAAAAGTCACTTGCCTGCATTCTTTCCAGGGGGATCGTGTGACTGCAAGCTTTATGGATGAGGTATATGTGTTCCATGTATTCTGTTATTCGCTGGAGGAAGCTCAAGGGCTCATTGAAGACAATGGGCATTGTAATTTTAGACAACTCCTGGATGAGAAAAAGAGAAACGGTTCCCTTTCACACGCTATGAGGTGTCACAGTATAGTTTCCAAATCAACAGAGGGGACAGTTTGGCAATAATACTTTTTCCCAATGTGGTAGAGGACATAGATCAGAAACCTGGCAGTAGTCTCTAACTACCACTGCTGCCTGGTGCTAGACACACTGTAACACCTTAATAAGAAGTGGAGATAAAGGGCTTCAAATGGGGTCTTCTCCAGCCCTGCCTGACCAAGAAAAATGGCACATAGGACTTGGGGTCTTATAGCTAGGGACCTACCAAATTTGCGACTGAGTTTCATGGAAACTATGAATTTAGGTGGGCTGTGCAAAAAAAACAACAAACTCGCTTAAAAACAAAAAACAAATAAAAAACCCCCCAAACTTACCTGCAAGTAAGGAAAAGGACAGGAAGCCCTGCAGTCTTGGGGCATGGGGGTAGAGGGGGAGTGTGGGCAGTGGTGGGGGGCAAGGCAGGCTTCCCCAGCAGCTGGACTGTTGTCCCAGGCCAACCGTGGCAGGCAGCCGCAAGGCTACAAGCAGCTGCATCAGGGTCCGTGGAGCCCCAGCACAGCTCACTGCACGCACGCACCTACCGCCAGCAACAAGCTCTGCCAGGGCTCAGCCGACCCCCGTGCAGCCACTTGCAGCCTTCCAGCTGCCTGCTACAGCTGGCCCAGGACCACAGTCCAGCTGCTTGTGCAGCCTCCCCACTTGGGGAAGGCCTGAAACCATGGCTTAATTATCCCGATTAAGCCTGGGAAGCCATTCATCCACACTTAATTATTCATGGATGAATGGCTTACCCAGGCTTCATCAGAGTAATTAATATGTGGTTTCAGGTCATCTGGCAACCTGTGGGAAGGGGCGGGACTGCCAGGCCTCCTTGGCCAAATCAGGGGCGGCTGCCACAATCAGCCCATAAAAATCGTTGCTGGCCCTGGGATCTGCCCGCAAAATCAGCCAGCAGCATCCTCGAATTTAGTAGACCCCTACTTATAGCAGCGCAGAAAAGGTTCAATTTTCCATCCAACAGATGCTACCTGGTTCAGAGCACAGGGACATAACCCTGGGACCCTTGAAAAAAATCTACACTGATCATCTAACTTACTAATTAATTCTATATCGCCTAGCCACACTACTGCACCAACTGCAGACACTGTACTTTGAGACACTAACTGGTTTATCTTGGATTCAACCATCACGAAAAGAACAGGATTTTAGTTTGCACAAATTAAGCAATTCCTTTTGTACTCGTGCCCTATGAACAAGGCAAAGTGGGGATTCTTCATTCCACCTTTCGGTACAAAACCAATCATTGCCTGGAGCCTCATACAGCAAATGCAGCAGCGCCTGAGCCCTCATTACTCCCCAGGCAAACAGAGTTAATTTTAAAAAGGGTGTATAAATCTGACTGAGAGCAAAGCTACACTACACAGTCACTGGTCCCAGTGCTTGCTCCTTATGGGGAGTGGAGAATCCTTAAGGCAAGGTCCACACTACAAATTGCTTTTGGTATAGCTGTTGGTTAGGAAGGTGAGGGGATGAGGAACAGCCTTTGGTGGAGATGCAACACATCTTTAAAAGACAGCTGCCTACAACAGCAGCAACAGGATGCTCCTGTCTGCATTAGCTGCATCTATATGGGGTTTTACCACGTTAGTTAGGGATGCAATTTTCTACAATCCTAAAATAGCTATGCCAGCAGAACTGTGAAGGGAAACCAGGCCTACAGGATTTTGTGAACCCATTGAGAAGAAAGCAGAAAAGACAAGTGATTACAGATTGCAAGTCATTAAAGGCAATGATAGCGACTGCCAATTAAGACTCGAGAACATGTGTCCTTTATATGACTCTTTACTACCAATTTAAAATGTTTTTGTTGTTGATACCGAGAAAGAACCTGGTGGCCCTATTCAGCCAATGCACTCCAACCTACATTTCAAGCTAAACTCTCTCTATACTGAAGCTGGGCAAAGGCTAGATTTTAGACATTCTTATGCCATCGCTTAGATGAAACAGAAGTTTCCCAATCCCAATATATCAACACACTTTCTGTGACATAAAAGACAAGATAAAGCCCCAAATTATATTTTGCCAAATTTTGTAAAGACAAGAAGGGTTAATTATTCAACACACATTTGATTACAGCCTTTAGGACACTAATCTAATACTTGTAAGACAGTAAGAGAAATGCTCCAAAAGCTAGGTCAACAAGGGAAAACATCTCTTTTTACTAGGCTGTTCAGGTCCATACAAGCAGTTCAACAAAACATCATACTGTTATTCAAAAAGCAGAGGTTTTTGATTCTCAGTTTGCTGTAAGGACATGAAGCTGAAAGAGACAGTTTAAAGAGACTTCTTACATACCTTATCACCATCTTTGTTTATCAGAACAAAGAACTGGAGAGTTTATTTGTGCTGCTTGCTTATGACATTTCTATCAATTTTACTTTTGTTTTTGTCACCTTAAAAGTTCTTCACCACCAGGCAACACCCCAAAGCATGGGTACATCTGCTTTCATGTTTTTGTATTTCCGAACTTAACCTTTAGTTCCCAGAAATAAACATTTTGCCAAAGATAGCAGGGAAAAACATTCAGTCTCCTTTGACTGCCAACAATGACTTACCAGGCCAATGCATTTTTTTAATATACTCCACACACTAAAATCACTTCTAGAAAACATTGGGGCGGGCAATGAAGTTCTGTAGGGAGGAGGAAAAAAAAAACAACACAAAAACATAAAAATAGTTATCATACCCAAGACAAGATTACTTTTTGACTAAAATCCTATTCATCATCAATTTTGAAAATGACAAAGGTTTCTCAGGCATTTCACACAGACTACTTCAATGCAACCAGAGCCTCAACCTATAGGGGAGCTGCTTAGGGGTATGGAGTTTCTACTGCCTATAACTCCTGTGCATTCTTGGCCAGTACCCATGGACAAAGGGGCCATCTTCCAGCATCATGACAAACTGTGACAGAGAATCTGCAGGTAGTTGTACAACTAACAGGTTCCCTAGAAAAGATATGGTCTAGTCAGGGAGGATTCTGCTTTGAGCAGGAGCTGGACTAGATGATTTCATATGATCCCTTCTAGCCCTATTTTCCTATGATCTCAGCCAAAGCAACTACACTGGTTAGCAGGTACACTGTACTTTGTTCAAGTGCATTGCCTCAGGATTGAAAAAAGGCTAAGAACTTACCTGGAATATACACTTGTGTAACCTTCATGTACACAACGCTTACTCAGTACACCACACTGTGTTCTGGGATGAGCAGCTCTGAGACCGACTAGCACCCAACATTTTGAAGGTACTTAATCAGCTAGTGTCAGGCCCCCCATTAGGGACCTTGAAAACTATGGGAGCAGAAGCGCTAAAACTGACTAGCTCCCATTATTTTCCAGGCTTCCAATAGCTGCGGTTTCAGAGCTGCTCCCCTTTCGCCATTCTGCAGTTAACTGGAGTACACTTGTATTAAAAGTAGACGGGAGACAAAAAGATACTTGCACTTAAGCAGTTTATGCACTTAGTTGATAAGCAGATTACCAATGTTTATTATTTTATAAACCCATGTCTGCCCCAACAGTCAGTATACAGTTATGCATTTATCCAGCATGCACAAAAGAGGGCTATACTGCACAGTATAGAAGGCTTTCCAGCACACCTGTGTTCCTTAATTCCATTCTCTTGATGCTGCGCCTCTCCATTAGGTTTCCCAGTCCTACTGCTTTGGTGGGAATCCCGGTCAATCATTTCTGCAACTTTATGATTTGCTTCTGAAAAGTCCCCCGAAGAATTGTCAGAATCAAAGCCTGCATAAAATAAATACAAGTGAGGAACATTCCCTAGGGCTCCAGAGAGTCTGCTTACATGTTAAACCTGTTAACAAAGCAGAAGCGGGTGCACCATAACAATGGCATGTTTGCAACACACCAATTCACTTGGAAATATCACTGACTGCAAACTTTTTGGTGGATAACTTAGTCTAAGAACAAACAGCACCAAGTATCATATTAATACTAAAGATAATCAATTTTGCATGCAATAATCACAGAAAAATAGGGTTGGAAGGGACCTCAGGAGGTCATCTAGTTCAACCCCCGGTTCAAAGTCGGACCATCCCCAACTAGATCATCCCTGCCAAGGCTTTGTCTAGGAGGGCCTTAAAAACCTCCAAGGAGAGAATCCACAACCTCTCTGGGTAGCCTGTTTCAGAGCTTTACTACCATCCTAGTGATATCTAACCTACACTTCCCTTGCTGCAATTTGATGACACTGCTCAATGTTCTGTCATTTGCTGAGAACAGTCTAGCTCCATCCTCTTTGCAACCACCGTGCAGGTAGTTGAAGGCTGCTACTAAATCCCCTCTCAGTCTTGTCTTCTCCAGACTAAATAAGCCCATTTCCCTCAGCCTCTCTTCACATGTGCCCCAGCCCCTCACCATTTTTGTTGCCCTCCACTGGACTCTCTCCAATTTGTCCACATCCTTTCTGTAGTGGGGGGCCCAAACTGGACACAGGATGCCAGTTGTGGCCTCACCAGTGCCAACTAGAGGGGAAGAATCACTTTCCTCAATCTGCTTGCAACTCTCCTACCAAGGCTGTTAGCCCTTCTTCGCAACAAGGGCACACTGCAGGATCATATTCAGCTGAACTGTTCATCAGCTATTTCAATTAGGTACATCTATTCCCTTATTTCAAAGCTGCACTTTAACTGCAATTACAATTTTTTTTTTCCAGTTACATGATTTTGTCATAAGATCTTCAAAAATGCAGTTGTCCTATTTACAATTCTGGTTTTACTAAGAAACCATGAGAAAAAAAATGAATTGTAGAGTCAGACTCAACCAGCACATATGCAGGTTATTAGAACCAGTTTTAAAAAATGGAACCCAAACGACAGTAAAAGAAATAAGCCTCCATTGCACAACGGAAGTGAGTTTAGAGGAGAGGACTGGGAGCAAGGACTTGAATCATCCTCCTAGCTCTAGCATGGACTGGCTGCATGACCTTGACAAGTTACTTCACTTTCCTGGCCCTGGTTTACCCACCTGTAAAAGAGGCATTCATCCCACTTGAGAAGATTGTTTGACTTTATAACTTCGGAGTCCTCCAGTCCAAAAATGATATACAAGTGCAAACTACTAGATTAAGGTCACTGACAAGGCCACATCAAGGTTTCAGTCCAACAATTCATTCAGGATAGACTACTGCTTTGTTTAGAATCGTGGGCCAATTGCTAATGTGTACAACTTTTGCATATGCAGGTGTAAAAAGAGTGATTTGTGCAAGTAAACTGTATTTGTATGACAAGGTTCTTTGGGAAAATGTGATATCTTTTATGAGACCGATTAAATAGTTGGCAAAATTGTTCTTTGCATTTGTACGTGCATGCCAAGAACCACTGGCTTTTGTGTATTTAAACTTCATTATTTCCGTGCACAAATTGCATAAGCGACTGTGTATGTAAAAAGTATGCTCAAAAAGGTGGATTTAAAATCCTTTGAAAGTTAAGATCCTTGAACTGCAAGATCTACATGCTGGCACTGGACACACATCTTGCCAAATTTTAGCAGCAAAGCCTCCAGCACAGCTACTCTTCAAGCAAGTACCATTTTGTTGATAAGTACTGTAAGCGACAACCCTGACCAAGAAAGGTAGTGGACCAGACTCCTTCTATGACTGAAGAATACAACTTCCTTGACAGCACCAGTACCTACCCGCAAAGGGCACAGCCTCAGCTTATACCAACATGTGCAGCTCAGGATTTAGTCCAAGGGGTCTAAGAACACAGAAGTGACCCCAGCAAAATTAATTCAGGGGAAAGCCAGTATAAGCTCTAAGAAGAGCTCCAGATGCATACAAGCAATGCTTCTCTAGCACCATTTTCCCCTGGATACCCATGTATTCAGACAACACTCATTGCAGCAGCAACAGCTGCTTAAGAGCAAAACAGCTGCAGGGCATGGACACATATGAACAGGCATTGACTACAGAGAAATCTGTACTCTAGCATCATTCTGAGCGACAAGACTCAAGGAAGCACGGTGCAACTCTACATTTCACTGGGCCTGCTAAATGCATTGCTGGGCTTGTCGAGGTGGTAACTGGGAACCTGGAAGAAACAGGTGCTGCAATAATGGGAGGAGAAGGAGAAAGAAAAGGAAGCAGATCTCTTTTACAAGGGGGCAGAGAAATGAAGGAACCTTAAGTCGGCACTAATGCATCCATCTGCTGGAAAGTAAGAGCACACAAAGTGAAACTCCCGAACCCCTTTGGGAGCCACCTCTATCGAAAGTGCTAGAAAAGAACGACTTGGCATATCCAGGCCTTCAGCTCCTACAAATCACTATTACATAGTTAGAACCATCAAATACTTCAATATGAAGAGAACCTCCCTCATCCCAAATGCTTTCAAAATAAAGCCATTTCCTGTTCACTGGAAAACCAAGGCTGCTTAACTGGCCAAGCATCAGTTTCTACTCTGGACGTGCAGGATGGAAACAAATGAGGAGTAGGCCCCAAACAGTCCCTTTTCTCTATCCACTGATCCTAGTGACCTTGGGGAATGAACCTGCCTGGGGTTCAGAGACTGAAGCTGGCAAAAGCAGCTGCAGAAGCAGCCTGAGCAGGCACTGAGTGACCCCCAAGGATGTCAACCTGCTGGCTGCAGTTTTCACCCTGGATGCTCTCTCCCTTATGCCAACTGGCTGCTCATTCCCGTCTCGGCTGATGTGACGCCCTCCCCCTCCCACACCAAGCTCTTCCTTCCCCTCCCTTTTAATGATTCTTCTCCTAATCTTCTCCCACTCAGTGGATTTAGCCACCAGCCCTGGCTCCTGCATACAGCTGGTAAACCATCAATACCCACATGTTCTGTTCCTGTCAGAGGCGCTCTCACCAAAAATAGGTTATAAACTCTGGGGCAGGTGTTTGTACAGCACCTAGGACAACAAGGAACTATTCTCTCCTGGTACCTTGGTACTGTAATGCGTATTCACAGTATCGCTATTAAAATCAACCCATTGTTTTAGATAAGTATGGACGAGCCTGTTGTGAAATACAGAGAAGAACAAGTTTACTCAAGCAATTTTGAAGGTCTGAAGCCTGTTTGGACTCTCTCTCTAAAACATGCAATCATAAATCCCAAAGAGAGAGACCCAAACCCTCCAGAAAGCCCAAAACAGCTGGCTCTCAGCCCTACGAACAAGATACACTGCATGATATCTAGGATGTGGTACAGGAAAAATAAAAATTGCTCTGATGCTGCATGTTTTGTGAGATGACCTTCATTCCAGCTGTCCATCTAGATGTATATCCTGAAGGACATGAAGGAGGGCAGAGGAGACTAAGGAACCTGTAGCTGACAACAGCAATGGGCTTCCTCTGCCTGCAGTTCCACCCAAACTGTCAGATGATACTGTTTAGCTGTTGTAGGCGTGACAAACACACATGCAACACCTGTAGAAAGCACATGATGGCTGGATGGTGAAACCTAAAAGGAGGGGTTATGCCATGTTCTGGACTGTAACAACACTGGAACTGGTTTGGTCTGTCTACATTACAAATCAAATTGCTTAAAAACAAAAAAGTTACCAGTAAAAGCAGTAAGTCCCTTCTCTTATCAGGTTCATTTTCTCCATGTCAACAAAGGACTGTGGCGTGTCCAAATTCTGATTTAGCATCTGGACAGTATAAATCCCCTGCACATACACACTTGCTTTCTGAAAGTCCTCTGGGCCAGGGCACACAGGCAAAGCTAAATAAAATACTGCACAGTTGTTTAAAAGAACGTACATTGTAACATGCTGAAATCATTTTCATTCAAGCAATCTAAGTACCATTTGCTTGCCAACTGCAATCACTCTTAACGTCTCAGGAGTCTTAATACTTAAAAATACAACAGATATTATTGTTGTATTATTACCATAAATGCTATACTTCTTTCTCCCATTAAATATTTTCATTCTACCAATGTAATGCTTTTAAAGAAACCCAAAACAAACTTTTATTTCTACCAGGAAAGATGACTGAAGATTATCAATGCAGCCATCTCAGAAGCTGAAGGAAGTACTGGTGTTGTGATTTTGCATTTTATAATTAGCAGCAGACATTAAACATGACATCACGCAGTAATCCCGCTTGCTGAACCCCAGCGTCTCAGGCATGCAATTATGGCATGATAACCACACCCCAGCGGGTCTTAACACTTAATTGGGAACAATGATAGATGTACGTGTAATTGTTCAGGGGATTGAAACAAACACTACATCAAAACACCAGCCTCAAAACATGCGCTGATTTTTAGACGCTCTACAGTGAAAGAACATTTTTTTGAGAAAGGGTAGTTAAACCTCTGGGATTTCCTAGACGCTCTAATATATTTAAATGTGTTTAATTTTAAAACAGAAACTTCCATAAAAGTTCAAGTCACTCTACAGGGCTACTTCACTGCCCACTGGGAAAGCAAAACCTTTAATTGTGCCTAGATCTTATATAGATACCTATCTATTCCATATATCTATTAAGGATTAATTAATCCAAAGTAAATAAAACTGTGTCTCATTGCTTGTTACCAGTCCTTTGATTTCTCTCCAGTTAACAACTCATTTGTGCTGTTCCTATATGTCAACTTATTCAATTCTAAGGGAAACAGAGATCAAACGTGAACCAAAATACAATTTAATCTAGTCGTGAATGGCTAAACACAAGCAACAGAAACACATTCAAGTTTTACAGACAGGCAAAACTTTCAAACCCAGCTCCAGTGGAACTGACCTTATAGTACAAAGATATTAAGTTTTCTGTCATA